TGATACTCTTTTCTAGAGGTTTTATCCACTATTGATAGGGGTGTATTAAAATCTCCAACTACCATTATAGAACTGCCTATTTCTTCCTTCAGTTCTGTCAGTGTTTGTTCCATATATTTTGGGCTCTGTTACTGAGTCCGTATCTGTTTATAATTGTTAGAGCTTCCTGATGAATTGATCCTTTTATCATTATATAATGCCCTTCTTTGTCTCTTGAAACAGATTTTGACTTAAAGTCTATTGTGTCTAATATGAATATAACCCCTCTAGCTCTCTTTTCTCTCTTTTTTTAATGTAGTATTTTATTGTGTTTTCAGTGAAAGTTTACACAGCAAATTAGGTTCTCATTTGACAGTTTCGATACAAATTGTTCAGGGATATTAGTTACATTGTTCACAGTGTGTCAATATTCTCTTTAGTTGTGTTCTGGTCGTTCCGTTTCCAGTGCTCTACATCTAACTCTCTTTTGATTAATATTTTCATGGAATATTTTTTTCCATCCTTTCAATTTCAACCTATTTGTGTCTTTGGGTCTATTGTGTGTCTATTTTAAACAGCACATAGATGGATTGTGCTTTTTTATCCATCCTGCCTTTTTGCATCATTTTTATCTATTTTCATTTAAAGTTATTACTTATAAAGAAGAACTTATGTCATTTTGCTTTTTATTTTGTGTGTCTTGCACCTTTTTTGCCCCTCATTTCTACCAGCACTGCCTTCTTTTGTGTTTAATTGATTTTGGTAGTCAACTATTTTTATTCCCTTCCCATTTCCTTTTGTGCATATTTTTTGGATATTTTCTTTGTGATGACCACGGGGATTACATTAACATCCTAACATTATAATGACCTAGTTTAAATTGATACCAATTTAACTTCAGTATCATACAAAGACTCTATTCCTATACCACTCCTTCCCTGCCATTATGTTGTCCACTTTATACATTATTAGCCCATTAAAATAAATTTATGTCTCTTTTTTTGCATTTAAGAAGCCCTGGTGACACAGCGGTTAAGCATTTGGCTGTGAACTGAAAGGTCAATAGTTCAAACCCACCAGCTATTCTGTGGGAGAAAGATGTGGCGGTCAGTTTCTGTAAAGATTATAACCTTGGAAACCCTATGGGGCAGTTCTACTCTGTCCTATAGGGTCACTATGAGTCAGAATCGACTCAATGGAAATGGGGCTTTTTGTATTTGCTATTTTAAATCATTTAGGGCACAACAACTAGAGTTACAAACCAAATATGCCATAAAACTGCCCCATGAAGTTTTTTTTTCCTGTGACTTAGAGCTGCTGTTTAGTGTCCTTTCCTTTTAATCTGAAGGACTCCTTTTAGCATTTCTTGTAGGGCAGGTCTAATCATAAAGAACTTCCTCAGCTTTAGTCTATCTCTTAATTTCACCCTTGCTTTCAAATGACAGTTTTTCTGACTATTGAATTCTTGGTTGACAGTTTTTTTCTTTCAGCACTATTAATATACTTTCCATTTCTCTCTGGCCCCCAAAGATTCTGAGGAGATATTGGCACTTAATGTTAATGAGGATCACTTTCATGTCACCATTTGCTTCTCTCTTGCTGCTTTCTAGATTCTTTGTTTGTTTTTGAAAGTTTGATTATAATGTGTCTTGGTGTGAATCTCTTTGGGTTTGTCCTGCATGGAATTAATTTAGCTTCTTGAATTTTTAGATTGACGTCCTTCATCAAATCTGGGAAGTTTTCTGCCATTATTTCTTCAAATATTCATTCTGTCCTCTCTCTTTTCCTTCTGGGATTTCTATGATGCATATGTTCGTTTGCTTGATGGTGTCCCACAATTACATTATGCTTTGCTTGCTTTCTTTACCCTTTTTTCTTGTTGCTCTTCAAATTCACTAGTTTCAGTTGTTTACTGATTTTTCTGGCAGCTCAAATATGCTGTTGAGTCCCTCCAGTGAATTTTTAATTTTAGTTATTGTATTTTGCAGCTCCAGTATGTCTGTTTGGTTCTTTTTTATAGTTTCTCTTTATTTAATTTCTTGTTTTGTTCTTGTATCGTTTTTTCTGATTTCCATTAGTGCATTATCCACATTTTCCTTTAGTTCTTTGAGCATATTTACTATTGTTGTTTTAAAGTCTTCTAATCTGCTCATTATCCTGCCTTCTGTAGGGATTATTTTTGTCTCTTCCTTTGGATCTTTTCAATGGGCCATCCTTTCAGGTTTCTTTGAATGCCATGTGATTTTCTGCCTTAACTAGGACATTTGAAAATTATAATGTGGTAACTGTAGGACTCAGACTCTTTCCCTTCCCTAGGGATTGCATTTTTTTAAATCATTAAAGTCTGTAATAGTCTATCTGCTCAGTGACCTCGTTAAATATTTTTGCAAATGCTGCCTTCCAAATCATGCATAGACACTGAGTACTGTGTTCTATAGCCTATGCCTAACCAGTGTTTCAAAGATTTCCTCTTACTCCGGTGAAAAAAAATTAAATTTCTATTTTTCTTACACCTTAGGGTTTGCTGTTGTTACTTACTGAAGGCTACAGTTGACTAGTAACTTTTTCAAGCGAATTTTTTAGCACTGTGTTCCGGTTCTGTTATCTATGCAGTCAGTCAGTCAGTCAGTGGCCTGACATATTTCGCCAAAAAAAAAAAAAAAAAAAAAGAAGAAGAAGAAGAAGAAAAGAAAAAAGGGGAAAAAAAGCGTGCTGGCCCTTTAATTCTTCCAACTGGAAAAAGCCACTTTTGCAAGAAGTCCAAAAGCACTGCAGTGGTCTTCACCCACCCCTCAGGGCACCACCAGATCATCCAAACTGTGCAACTCCAAATCCTTGAAGGATGAGGTTCCCTCTGCCCACCCTGGCACCAGCCAGCTGCTCTAGGAACATGGGCTAACATCCCCACCATTGAGGCAGGGCCGAGGAAAGTGGGATGGTAGCTGGTTGGCACTTGTGGTTCACCTAGGAAAGATCAGCATCTTATTCATTCATCAAGCACTCCCCTGGCTTATTTAAGTATATGATCAGATTCCAGAGTTCCAAAATATCATATTTTTACGCAAATAACGCATATGTAATTGTTTTTTTGCCAACCACGCTCTCCTCCCGTGAGGTATTTTTGTAAGCATACTATGCTAATTTTTTAATGTTGCTGTAAAATATTAGCATAGCATGCTTACAAAAATATCTTGTGGAGGGGAGGGCGTGGTTGGCAAAAACATATAACATGCATGTTATTTGCATAAAAATATGGTAGTTGGTTCCAATTGATCTTTACAGTGCAATTGATTTTTTTGTTGTTGTTGGAGAGAAAACCTCTAGTGTTTCATACCCCACCATTTTTCCTGCAATCACTATTTTTTGCAAATTTGAAATGTAATGTGGTTCCTTGTTTTCAGTTGCATTTCCCTGAATGATTTCTAACATCGTTGCATAAGTTTATTGGCCAGTATTAGGAAGGTGCTAACAACAAGGGACTCTTACACACTTGATAAGAATAGAATTTGGTGCCATCTTTTTGAGGGATATTTTGGCAGTACCTATCAACATTTTAAATGCATATATTCTTTGACCAGAATTTCTAATTTTATAAATTTATCTTGCATGTATACTCACACATATGTGCCAATATTTGTATATAAGGATCTTTACTGAAGCTTTGTTTGTAGTAGCAAAAAATTGAAAACAACTTAATTTTTAATCAGGAGACTAGTGAAATAAATTGAGGTACATTCATAAAATAAAATCATATGTAGCTGTTAAAATAGAATGTGAAGAATCTATATGTATTGATATGGCTGTTAGTAAGTAAAAACGTGACAAGGTGCAGGACAATGAGAATAGCATTGTACCATTCTGTAAAAAGGGGTGCTGTACATATATATTTGTCTATATATGATTATTCATACTTAGAGTATTTCTGGAAGGATACAGAAACAGTTACAGTTTTTGCCTTTGGTGAGAGCACCTGAGTGACTTGGTGTGGAGTCAAGAGTATGAGGGAGATACTGTTATTGTTTGAGTGTTTTACCAGGTGCATGTATTACCTGTTTAAAAATTATTAAAATGGTAATTTTCTCAGGTTGTTTCATGGAGAATGGGTTGAAATGGAGTGAGAATGGAAGTGGGGAAAAAGTCCAGGTATGAGTTGAAAATGGCTTGGTCTAGGATAGTAGCAGTGGAGGTGGAGAGAAAAGAATAGATTCTGGGTATTTTAGAGGAAGAATTGACAGTACTTGTTAATGGATTGGGTAGGAGAAAGGTGCTATGGAGAAGTGGTGAGAGAGAAAGAGATGAAGGATTGATAACTCCTAAGTTGTTAGATATAATTAATAATCATGAGACCTTTGATGATTGGAAACAAAATCAGAAAATAACTTTGTAATCGTTTTAAACTGTTGTAAATGAGGCTTCAGAGCTACTCTTATTCTTTTGTGGGGAATGATATTGTAATTTTTTTAAGGTATGCAAAATTAAGAGTATATATCCATCTAGCTAAGGTTCCTAGGTGGTGCAAATGGTTTGTTCTTGACTGCTCAAACCCACCCAGCAGTACAACAGAAGATGAGGCCTGGCAGTTTTTTTCCATTATAGCCAAGATTACAGCCAAGAAAGCCTTATGGAGCAGTTCTAGTTTGTTATACATGAAGTTGCCATGAATCACAATAGACTCTATGGCAACTAATAACAACACATCCGTCTAACTTGGTTTAGAACTTGCAATGCATAGTATGCTTTTAAATACAATACCAAATCTAACTTTAAATCACTTGCTTTTATGAAAGTTTTCAAACCATTAGTAATAACTTAGGTAGTCTTTTATTTTATCAGTTTCTAGGCAGAAATTTCTGTTTTACAATATTTTATTAATTTTTTTAAGCAGTTGTTTTATGTGGACCAAGATTCTGCTTTTGAATATTCTTAGAATTTGAGCTAAACAAATTTGATTTAACCAACATACACATGAATGGCTGCTTTGTGATATTTAAACTTACCTGATTGTTTGTTTTTCCTTTCAGGAAGCAGAAGCCCAGGCAAAGCAAAAGCAGCAAGCATGAACCTTGAGCATTCTGCCTTAAACTTCCTGAAAAAGGAGTCTCCATTGCTTTTATAAAATAGCAAAATAATCCTGGCTTCAAATAAAATAGGCTTAAAATTGAAATAATAGATTAGTTGATGTTTTGTATAATAAAATGAATACATGATTAAAATGTGAATGTTATGTGAAGAAAATGGGAGATTAACATAAAATTTTAAGTAGATGTCACGGAATAGTATTGTTCTCTGCCAAGGCAATTTATGTACTTCAGTGATTTTAAAAAGCAAACCAATCCCCTTTTTTGGTATTATTATTGCAGATTAACTATATCTGTTGCTCAGCTTGTTAGACAATGAGGGATTACAAAAGAGAGAAAGAATCTCTAGTTATCAAATTGCCTTATTAATTTTAGTGAACAAGAATATGTACCTTTTTGATGTGATGTTATCACGATTAAAAAATAGTTGCAGGTGATGTTTATGATGTGTCAGTTGTACTTTTCTACGGTAATTTTAACATTCCCATTCTTTTATAGATGAAACTTCTGTGTACTGAACGACAGGTTTTCCAAGCTTTTACATGTAGCCTTTTATTGCATATGTCAGCAATCAAAATAAATGTCCTCTCACAAGAAAGCAATAGATGCATTCAGTTGACAAGTCCTTTGCTTGACTACTTACTGTGATGGAATCATTTTGCTAAGTTGCTGGTCCTGGTGAAATATACATGTGTATTTCAAATATGCATATGAAGTGAGATGGCAAGTGAGTTTAAAATGGCATCCTCTGGCAAACTGTGGAGAGTTTTATTTAACTATTATAAAATAGACTGGCACTCATTACTCAAAATTGATTTTTCTTGGGGAGTTCCAAGGATGAATTGTATACTGTTTGCTAAAAAACTTACTGTTTTCCCCCATTTAAAGCAACTTGTGACCATGATTGCTACTATCTCTCATGTATCTGACTTTTTTTTTTTTAGGTTAGGCAAATTTTGTGTGAGTACATTAATCAAAGCAGAGATAATTTTTTCTATGACTCTATTCCAGCATATAGTCAGTGCAAGTATCGGGAAACAAATGGGAAACTTGTAAAACAATAATTCTTAAGACTCTTGAAAAGACAAGAAACATCATTATGGCCTAAATCACTTACCCATATACATATATACATATATATATATGTATATATGTATAGTTCCATGTTACTTTATTACTACAAGCAAACACCTTTTACTTTAAATTACTTTATCGTGTCATTTGATGCATGCAGTTCTATGCTCTTTGTCAAAATCAACATATAATGAATACATGGCTTTGTTTACTGAGATTCAAACCTGATGCAATGCTTTAAAATAAACTCGGTACTTTTAGAAACATAATTTAAGTGTTTTTTTTTTTTAGTTTAATAGTAGTTTTAGATGAGTAATATATTTTTGAGGGCAGTGAAATTTAAAAAAATGAAGAAAACAATTTGTATGCAATTTCTTTTTCTTTTTAGAGCTCTGAATTTTGCAGTACACACTAGCATCAAATGAAGAACTGTTCCATTGATTTGTGCATAAAAATGCTATGGAGAAACCTGGAGGAAACAGGGTTCTTTGTAATAGTTTCTGGAAAATTTTGGCCTATAATTTCCCCTGAGCTTCATTAACTGCTGAGGATGATAATTGCAATATTCTAGGTGGGCATTTTTTACTTTACTGTAATATAAAATAAGTTAATGCTGTTGAAAACAGGCATTCTTCAAAAATAAACTCTTCTTGGCATTTACATCTATTAGACAATACCATACAATTAACATATTTAAATAAAAGGTTGGATTGAGTCTTCCTAAATTGATATCTTTTATTTTATGACCTGAGAACTATATACCTGGTAGATACAGGAAAAGCAAATGAAATTCTGAATATTAAGGTGAGCTTTATAAAGAACTTCTAGGATATTTGCCTGCTAATTGTTATATTTCTTTTGGTGTGTTTCTATTTGTAAATCAGAGCTGCTAAATTGTTATTTGTCAAAAGAAATTTCCCATTTTAGAGATGATAATTTCCTTACCAAGAATATTTGACCTTGAGGAAGATTTCCATTTTCAGCAAATAATGTAAAGTGATTGTTGATTGTATTGCTAAATGTTAATAGTTCTTTGTGAATCTGAGTGTAGAGGAAGCAGAATTTTAAAGAAGAGACTGTTAATTACTTGTTTGGAAGAGTCTAAAGAGAAGTTTTGTACAGTCAGGTTTCACTGCAGTTATTCCATTCATTCAGCAAAAGGAAAAAAGATGATTCACATGGATTTTATTACCCAATTGTAGATGCCAAAAATTTAGAAAGATTACCATTCGTCTCATCTTTACTATGTAAAAAAAAGATATTTCATTACTTTTGAAGAATTCAATAATAAGATACATTCACATTATATTATTTTAAACCTTCTGCTCCCCTAGTCTCTGAATAGTATTAGGTATTCCTTTCTTTTGTATAGCAAACAAAATTTAGGATTCCTACCTAAAGGGAGTAACTGTACCATTAATATAAATATTATTTTACACTCTTAACATGTTTACCTTTTTAAAATATCTTTGTTGAGATATAATTCACCTACCATAAATTCACCCACTTTAAGTGTATAATGAAATGATCTTTATTATAGTCACAGAGTTTTGTGAATATTACCAGCACCTAAGTTTAGAACATGTTCATCACCCAACAAATATACCCCATACCCATTAGCAGTCATTCCCCATCCCTCCATCGCTCAGCCCTCAGCAACCACAAACGTACTTTCTATAGATTTGCCTTTTCTCAGCATGTCATATAAATGGAATCATACAATATGTGGTCTTTTGTGACTAGATTCTTTCACTTAGAATAATGTTTTTGAGGTTCATCTATGTACTTCATTCCTTTTTATGCATTAGTACTTCATTTCTTCTTATTGCCGTATAATATTCCATTGCATGGATATAACCACATTTTGTTTATCCGTTCATCATTTGTTGGTTGTTCCCACTTTTAGGCTATTAGGAATAATGCTGTTATGAACATTCATATACAAGTTTTTTGTGTGGACATATTTTTTCATTTCTCTGGGGTAGATAACCTAGGAGTGGAAGTGCTCAGTCATATGGTAGTTCCACATTTAACAATATGAGGAACTACAAAAACGTTTTTTGAAATGGCTGCACCATTTTTCACTCACATCAACAATAAATGAGGGTTCAAATTTCTCCACATTCTTGCCAACATTTGTTATTTATCTTTTTGACTATAGCTATCTAGTGGGTATAAAGTGGTATCTCATTGTGGTTATGATTTGCATTTCTGAGATGGCTAAATATTTTGAGCATCTTTTCATGTACTTATAGGCCATTTGTATATCTTCTTTGGAGAAAAGTCTCTTCAAACCCTTTGCTTATTTTTTAAAAATTTATTGTCATAAAATACGTATAACATGAAACTTGCCACGCTATGTTTAAGTGTAAAATTCAGTGACGTTAATTATATTCACAGTGTTGTACAACCACCACCTTCATTTACCTCCAAAAATTTCTTGGTCGCCTAAAACATAAACAATATCCATTAAGCAGTAATTCTCCATTCCTTCCTCCCCTCAGGCCCTGGTAACCATTGATCTACTTTTGTCTCTATGCATTTGCCTGTTCTAAAATCTTCAAATAAGTGATATCATACAATATTTGTCCTTTTGTGTCTGACTTATTTAAGTTAGCATAATGTTTTCAAGGTTCATTCATGTCATATAGCATGCATCAGAACTTCATTTCTCTTTATGAGTGAATAATACTCGTTTGTATAGTAATACTTGTAAGGAGAGACTTCTGCCATTTTGCTATTTGTCTTCTGTGTGTCTTATACCTTTTTTGTCCCTCATTTTTGTCCATACTGCTTTCTTTTGTGTTGTTTTTCTGTAGTGAGCCATTTTTATTATCTTCTTCTTCCGTGTGTAAATTTTTAATATATTTTCATTATGGTCACCCTGAGGTTTACACTTAACATCCTAAATTTATAGAACTCTAGTTTGAATTGATACTAAACTTAAATAGCATTAATAATTTTGTTCCTATACAGCCCCACCTACCCATTTATGTTGTCACAAATTACATCTTTATACGTTGTGTACCCAGTAACATAAATTTATACTTTTTAAGTATTTGTCTTCTAAATCATGTGAGATATAACAAGTAGAGTTACAAACCAAAAGTATAGTAAAACTGGCCTTTGTAGTTATCCATGAAATTACCTTTACTGGAGAGACTTATATCTTCGTATAGCTTTGAGTTACTATCTAGTATTTTTTCTTTTCAACCTAGAGTACTTCCTTTAGCAGTTCTTGTAAGGCCAATCTCATGGTAACAGAACCCCTCAGCTTTTTATGGCGTAAACCAAAAAAAACCAAACTGGTGCCGTGAGTCAATTCTGACTCTTAGCGACCCTAGAAGAGTAGATCTGCCCTGTAGGGTTTCCAAGGAGTAGCTGGTGGATTTGAACTGCCGACCTTTTGGTTAGCAGCTGTAGTTCTTAACCATTGTGTCACCAGGACTCATTTTATGGGGTGGAGGATGTCTTTATTTTGCCCTCATTTTTGAAGGACAATTTTGCTGGTTTCTTGCTTGGCAGTTCTTTTCTTTCAGCACTTGAATTATGTCATCCCACTCCCTTCTGGCCATCATGGTTTCTGAGAAGAAATAAGCATTCTATCTTATTGAGGATCTCTTGTATGTGAAGATTCACTTTTTTCTTGCTGCTTTCAGGATTCTCTTTTTGTCTTTGGTTTCAACAGCTTGATTATAATGTGTCTTGGTGTAAATGAATTTTACCTTAATTCCACTGGAGTTCGTGGAGCTTCTTGGATGTGTAGATTCATTTCTTTCATCAAGTTTGAGAAGTTTTCAGCTATTTCTTCAAATATTCTTTCTGACACTTTCTCTTTTCTCCTTCTGAGACTTTCATAAAGTGTATGTTGGTCTGCTTGATGCTGTCCCACATATTCCTTAGGCTCTGTTTATTTTTATTTATTCTTTTTTATTTCTGTTTCTCAGACTAGATCATTTCAACTGTCCTGTCTTCAAGTTAGCAGATTCTTCTGCCAGCTCAAATATGCTTTTAAGGTGCTGTAGTGAATTTTTTATTTCAGTTACTGTGCTTTTCAGATCCAAAATTTATGTTTTGTTCCTTTTTATAATTTCCATATCTTTATTTTTTATTTTGGCTTTCTCAAGAATGGTTTCTGTCATTTTATTTTGTTGCTTTGAATAGGTCATCCTTTCCTGTTTCTCTGTATGCCTTGTGATTTTTTGTTGAAAATAGAACAGTTGATTAATAGAAGGTGGTGACTCTGGAAATCAGATTCTCCCCCTTGGTGTTTGCTGGATCTTCTTTCCTTCCTTCCTTCCCTTCCTCCTTCCTTCCTCCCTCTTTTCCTCTCTCCCTGCCTCCCTCCCTCCCTCCTTCCTTCGTGAAGATTTAGTGAATTTTCCAAACTGTTTTTGCAGACTGAATTACCTGATGTGTGTGTTCACTGAAGTCTCTGTTGCTTTCTCTTGTATTTGGAAATTGTTCTGACAAAGATTTCCTTGAATTCCAGGAGTTAAAAAAAAAGAAGGAAAATAAAAACAAGCAG